AATACTCGTTAATATACTGGGGAAATACAAGCATAGCCCAACTAAATAAATTACAAAAGCTACAAAAGTAAAGCACTTAAAGTAATATTTGGAATGAACTTGCTTGCCTTATTTACAAATATGTGAACTTAATACTAGAACAAACAAATTTAATTTGCTAAATACAAAACAAATTTATTAAAACAAATCTGAAATTGATTGAAAGTGGACAGTGTTAAAACTACACCACAAGAAACAATAAGTTCGGTGCTTACGCAAGAATGCAAAAAGAAACAAGACTCGCTGATATACAAAAGCATTCAAGTTTTTAATAAAATATCACAAACTGTATTAAAGGCACTACAAAGACTTTATAACAAAAAATCAAATAATTACTTATATTAACCACTTAGCCACTTTATTGTTAACTGCTTAGAGGTCTGAAATAAATTGGTATTAAAAAAAAGCACCCAAAAAGAAGTGTTTCTTCATTTCTTCGACCAGGTTTTTTTCCTTCGAATTTAAACACTAAACTTGCTGTGTGAATATCAAAAAAGGGACAAACTCGCGACAATATCCTTCCCTACCACATAAAACCTGGTAAATAAATAGACTCACGGAAACAATAATTTCATGTACACACCGTTGCTTTTATCATATGGTTGTTTTGGGTCGGAGAAACGGGCAAAATGTTTCGTAAAAAGACGAACAGCTCGTCCAATTGCCCAGATATTGTGTGACATCCACAAGTTAAACGATTTTTTATGATCTTGAAACACGAAAGGGGGACCTACGTTGAACATGGCAGGATGACGTTTTTAGTTTTAAACAGTTATATAAATGTTGGAACATTTTTTCCCTAAATAATTTCCTAAAAAGCTCACAATGTTTTGTAGAGAGTTGTAAATGCTGTAGATAAAATAGTACATTAAGGAAATTACGTGTATAAAGCAAAAAATAAATTGGCGTTTACAAAACTTGTTGGAGTGAATGAGGTGTAATGGATACCTTTTACGCGAACCACTCTTGTTTTGATTTTAATGATATAATTTTTCTGCATGAAATAATTTTTCTGCATGAAATAATTTTAATTGATAAATTAATTAACTAAATAGCTAAGTCTTTTGCAGTTTTTTCGAAATATCTTATAATGATAAAAAAATGCTGTAATATATTAAATGAAAAATCAATTTGTAATTAAAATCTTACGAAAAAAAAGTGAAGCGTCGCAACGATGAAAATGAATACATGGGTCCTAAAACAAGCCACCTTAATTTTATTTCTTTTCGTTTTCTTGCAAATCGAGATACGTGCCCCAAATGAATCACCCTGTACAGGGAGGACTAAATTAAGCAACTATAAAAACCGCACATAGATATCTGTTTCTATTCCATTTGCATTCAGTGCAGTACTTTTTTGTAAGGAGTTTGAGTAGTTTCCATAGTGATGCGCAACTGGTTAGGAGCTGAATTGGAGGTGAATTTAAGTTCTATTCAATAAATATCAAATTTTTAGTGAAATATTCATACGAATACAAAATCTTCCACCGCGTAAAAGCACATATTTTTTTAAATTATCACTTTTAACTCTGAAAGGGTGATAGATACTCATGTGCGAATTTTACCATTATATTTTTTATAATATATCACCTTGAGAATGGGATTTTTTTTTAAATTGTTCTAGCAAATTTTGTTTCTAGAAATAGTGTGTACATTAAAAATACTTTGTTAAAAACTACAATAAAAAAAATTAATTCAGTCAAATTTATTTAACCAAGAAAAGGGTAGGTTGAAAAAATGTGAAAAAAAAGCTGGTTGCCCTAATCATTTAAGTTCGATAGCATTTCCGAAGTGGTCTTTGTGATTTCTTTGCAACTTAAAGAATGTTTATAAGCGCCTAAATATTATTTATTTATCACTGCCAAATAAAATACAATACTACTAGTAATTAATTAGTAAGTAATTAAGTTATTTAAGGACTAAAAACATCCAAGACTACATGAAATTATTATAAACTTTTCTCCAGACAATGTAGAACGGTGCAGAAATGTCAGACACAATGTTGATTGACTAGTCAAATTCTAGAAATAAAGCTAATGTGCCGTAATTTGTACGGTAAATTTGATAGTGACAACCATGACCTGCTTTAGTTGCTCTGGTAGGTGAATTTTATCAAGGATTCCGGCTTTTCTATTCAGAACAATAGAAAAGGTGATAAGGTTTCCTTTAGCGGCGCCATATTCAGCACAGAAAGCATCATCACTGTAATTATCCAAAACATGTAATTTGTTGGTTTAAAAAAATATTTGCTCAACTAACTGAAGAAGACCAGGACACAAGAGGCCGTATACAAAATTTTTACTTCATTTACAGTGATGAAATCTTGGCTACTTCTCCCAATGAAACCTAATGAATACTAATGATTATAAAAGTGACCCTCAGATCCTTGAGAGTCGAAACATCTTCTAGTATATGTTGACCAATTTTAGGAAATGATGATGATGATGATGATGATTCATTTTTAACGATTAAGATCATATAGCTACTAGAAATATAGAGGCCGCTCCTATGCCGATAATACTTGTGAAGCATCTATGAAGAAAATTTCAAATATTGTTTTTAACCAATGACCTTTCGACATTCAACAACCAACATGGCCAATAAGTTTAAGTATGTGGAAATCGCTGTTTAGAAATAAAATGGCGCAAAGTGTATGTTGGGTAAAATCAATGCCGTCTGCGGAGCATCAATCAACTAAGTTATTAAGGTTGTATTGTAACCTGCATTGTCACAATCGTCAGCAAAAAGCACACATTCGACAAATACATTAAACACAAGAGGCCGAAGGTGCTACCTTTGGCATCTTAGATATAATTATAATAAATTAATGATGAATGATTGTTTAATTGGCGAAAAGCAGGGAACAACTGGATATTGTACGACCCTTTCTCTGGTAAATAAGCAAACTGTAATAGGTAGAGCAGCTGGCAATATTGTTTGCGTCCCTGGGTTTTGCTTTGAATTTATTAGTTCCCGTAACTTCTTCTTATGTATGTGTATATATGTTACGGAAAAAATGTTGCTAGTAGATCTACCAGGACACCGGCCTATGGTTGAATGTAACCTTTGGACAATAATTTTTTTTTATTCATTTTGTTGACATAAATATGATGAGACGGGCTAGACCGACGTCATAGGCTAACCAGTTTTTAACTGCATCGCCCAGATGTTCGATCGGTGACTACTTAGTTTACTCTCTAGTTTTGGTAAAAATATTTGTTCCGTTCTTTTCCGTCGGCCATGGTATTGCGTTCAAACTGGTTCAAAAAGTTAGCTTTTGTAAAAACATTTATTTTTGGAAAAGAAATAAAAAACGCATTTTTTCAATTGTTTTGATAACCCCCGTACGTTTTGGTTAGTTTGGTTCTACCCTGACCATGTTTATGAGTAAAAGTTCCTTAGCTAGGATATTTCACTCGGAAATTTGTATGAAACAACAAAATATCTTGGTGCCTTATTAGAAATTATTACCGATCAAGGACGCCGTCACTACTACGTTAGAATTTCTGTAGTAGATGCATCTGTGTGAAACCGCGCGTCTAATAGATCAACTTAGTTTGTGCTAACACAATGCTGTAAGGTTTTTGAAAAACAACGTGTTTTGAAAATTATACCATAGTTGCAAAGTATCCTAATCATAGTGATATGTAATATACCTATCATGTAGTCAACTACATTGCTAGAGGATGTCCCAAAAATCTTAGTGTTCTAAATACATTATTGTTTTCCACATGTTAATATAACATAGTATCGACTTTTTTTTTAATTTTTAACAAATATCCAACTAGAAATTTCCTTCACTATAACGCACGCAGTAGTTATTGCGCTATCAATGTTTTAAATCATTTCTGCTCCAATGATCGCGTGAGGACCTAACATCTTAAAATTCCTAATACTTTTAATTACGAGTTCTATATAGCTTTTGACACTGGCAATACGTTTTGTCAAAATAACATTTTCTTTGGACATTTTCTCATCGGCAGCAACACTTTTTGGTCTAACTAGAGTACACCCTTTCTTCTTTAACAGAGATTCAATTTTGTAAATGACAGGAATACCAGTATAAAGTCTAAGGTTCTTTTTTATAATATTAATAAATAATTCCCGCATATTGCTCTGTTCGATCTTGACAGTAAGCTGGTCAGCTTCTCTGTTACTACTTTCTGTGCTGTTCCCACTGGCTTTGTACGAATCAGATTCGGATGTTTCTGTTACTCTGGGATATTCAGCATTTGCCTGTCGTAAGCGTTTTTTTGGAGGGCTTAAAATCTGTTTAGCGTGCTTAGGAAATTTTATCGGGGATATAACAACATCCATTACTTGCCGTTTTTGCGATACTTGAATGGACTTGCTTCTAAAATGTACCTGTTTGGCATGCCTTATTACATAACCGTGGCTAAATTTCTTCTGTGAAGTGTTCATTGGGCAAATGTTCATGCTTTACCTAGATTACTTCCACGCCTTCAGGTTCGGACGTTTCGGTTGAGGGCCCCGCAACCGGCACTGGCTGCAAATATTCCGCGGTATCTTTCTGCCTTGCGCTTTTCTAGAGATTAAGTGTCTGTCCGGTTGACATGCAAATTGATGTGGTGCAACCTCAGATTTCATCTGGGCTCCATATTATTTTCCAGGTCGAAATGATCTTCACAGCAGTACAGTAGAGGAGCTTTTGGAACGCTCTCAAAATTTTTATTGGTGTTGTACGGGACGTATTTGTACATTTTGGAACAAAACACCACTTTCTGTTTGGAATTTTTAATACAAATAGAGTCACGTGACCTAGCCTCGGGCGAAGGTTTCGTTTTCTAGCATCGCGCCAACTCTTGACTTTTAAATGTTTACAGCTGAGGATTTCAGTTAAAATAAAAGAATGTCAAACGTACCTATATGTTAAAAAAGATCTCTTCCTGTTGTAATCGTAAAATTCTTGGTCTTGTTCGTGCTGCGGAGGAAGAATTTTACCTTAACTGTGCTTTTGGGTCACTCAGCTGCATGCGGGAAGGGCGTGCTTCGGATTTTCCCCACGTTCCCGTGATGAAGGCAAACCGGAAACGAGAGAAGAAACAAGAAGATTTAATAACAAATTTTTGATGAAACCACCCGCAGTTGCTCAAACCTCCCAGGCAAAGCGCTGTTGGGGCTGTTGATCTTGTCACTCGACTTGGTGGTGACTGATTATATTGTGTCAGTTGTCATCAGATTCTTGTCACAGGTAATTGCCTCCACGTCCACTTTATTGAGTGTGATTATGCAACTCGGACTGTAGCTTTAGGCATATCCAACTTCGGAGAAAGACAAGAGCAGCAACTAATACCAAGGTGGGGTTTTGAATTGTGCGAGGTGACTTTGTTTTAACAACATAAAAAAACTATGCACTAAATCTTGCTTACAAATTGCAATCTTTAAAGCTAACAAAAATTACAGTACTATCCTCAATTTTTAATTTGACCGAATGGAAAAATTATCACTAGAAAACTGATTTGATGAAATTCATTAAATTATTAAATTAAAATTATGATTAACCCAATATTTGAAACTGATGAAAGATATCAAAAAGTAAGAGGGGAGAAGAAATAATAGTAATAATAATAAAGTTAATAAGAGATCAAAAACAATTGGTGCTTTTACAGGTCATTAATTACACCAAGGTGACGTGATATCGACAAATAAATCCCGTACTCGCAATTAAAAAAGGACGTAGAGTAAAAAGAGATTACGGCACATAATAGATGAAAACAGCTAAGTTAAGTTATGGAAAACCGTTCCAGAGCAAAGAAGTATTTCTGCCGTTAAAATAGAAGAAAAAATATACGTGCATAAATCAAAATAAAAATAACCACTTACCTGCAGTTATCCTCGCTGAAGATCCTGACAGAAAACGTCTAGCTTGCCTGGTTTTTGTTTAACGAGGAGGTCCACCACAATTCCAACAAGTGCCCAGAGATTCGCCTCTTGGTAAATCACAGCAATGGTAAGCGCTAGATTATATATTTTTGCTAGTGGAACTTTCTTCGAAGAAAGCAGTAAACGAAAGAGAACTAGCGAAAAACTTCATCCGGTCTCATCCCAACGATCATTCATTAATTAATTATTAATAGAGGGAGCGCTGAATAAAAACAATGCCCCCCACTTAAAAGGTATAACTACGTACCTGACTTCGATGTTCTGATTAAGTACGTCACAAGGAATTTTACGTACGCAATGTGTTGCGGATTTTGAATATCGATGAACCCAAAATATAATAATAGTGGCGAAATTTATTTCGTTAGACTGAGCAACCCGCGGATCGACCGCGAAACACTGCCGTCTAAATACCAAAATAAATTTCCTAGTCGCGACGCCTTTTGTGTGTCCTACAAAAACGAATTAAACGTCGACGGAAGAGAATGACGGTTTAATCCGCGATCAACGTGTCGGCAGTAAACATAGTAAGCCCAGTAGCAGTTCCGTGTCGTCGGAACGGGTGGCGTCGAGACGAACTCGGAAGGTCGCGAGCTTTACATTCACGTCGAGCAAGCTCTGCAGGAGGAGCGCGTCGCGTCGCCATACACGCCACGATTCCCGTCACAACACCACCACTACCCCTGACCGACCCGAAAACCTGCCTGTCGTCGTCAGGTCTTCTCCTGCGGCACGTGTCCTTCATGTTTCCCTAAAAGAAAAAAAAAGCGAATTGACAAAGTGTTATGTGTTGAGCTGCGTCGGAAAATGTGATTTTTCGCGGTGGGATGCCAGTCGGGGGAAACGAGACGCGTCGCGACGTCTTCGAGATCGTCGTTTGGTTGAAACCGGGATCCGATATCGTCGCTTAAATGGGGGAAAATCAAATCGCACAGGTAACGCCAACGGCCTTATGTGAAACGGCAATTCGTAATAGTTGCAATAGTTATTCTTCTTCGGGGCAAAATGAACACTTTTAAAGGGAAACTCGCCTTTCTAAAAGAGATTGATGAAAACTAATTTCCCTGTCTGGTAGTGGTAAAAATTGCACGTAGGATATGTTTCGAAAATGTGCATTTTTCAAAACCCGTGTAACGCAAATACGTTTCAATCCGATTTTCCACTACCAAATTTTTGCCTACACTTCGAGAGCTCAGAAGATCCGAAGAAGGAATTTTCTTTTAATTATTAATTAAATAATTATTATAATATTTGAAGAGCACACGTAGTACGTCAAATGGTAGCTCAACATGGGAATTTTATTTCGTCTATAGTTTTGGTTCGTTCAAAGACCGATCTAAGCTTCTCATATTCACGTTTGTAAACAAACTTACAACGAAAGAGCGATTTAAGTCCTTTTAGTTTAACGAATAATCGATTCAATTGCGATAGCCAATCCTAGAGGGTCTCTGAAGAATATAAAAATTATTACGTGGTGTTGCCGACTATCGATAACAATAGGAGTGATGACGAATGTGATGTTTTCACTGATAATTGTTTCCTTCTTCACGACAATAGTCTTCAGAATGATAGTCTGTCATTTTGACAGTTTAATACATCTATCCAAAAACAACAAACCTTTTCATGTTGTTATATTTTTTAGGTTATAAAAAAGCATTTTTGACATTATAGTTGGTTTATTTTTTACAAACATTAATAAATCGTCTAGTAAAGACAAACCGATTTTTTTTTTATCAAACTTTACAATTATTTTATATTAAAACTTGTGATTGATTGATTGAGTGATCGTTTTTCGTGTGCTCGTCATTTATTTTGTCAATAGTTTTGGTTAAGATATTTGGGAAAACATAACTTTTTTCGTAAACTCACATCTTGAAATTTTGATTCACAATCACAAAACACTCAGTCAATTTCCCTACGGTATACTGAGGCAACATTGTCCAAGTCGTAACGTCATGAGTTCCAGCTCTTCTAGATTGTCCTACACCGATACAGTTTATAGACCAGCTTTATTTTGTAAGGACTCTAAGGAATTCAAAATGCATGTTTCAGATTGCCTTTTGCCCTTTAGAAAATATATCAGAATTGGTTACATGATACGGGATAAAACAACCTACATATCTTAATATTAAGCCTGTACCCTTAAACCAAACTAATAATACCAGAAGGAAACAGATTTTGGTTTTACCTTGTCGTAAAGCAGCTATGTTGTTCTTGTAGTCCTCTGATATTCTTACTGAAAACTTTAATATTCTATCTATTTACGTGTTATAATTAATTAAACAGGTGAAATTGGAGACTCCTCTACGTGCCGTGGATGACAGATATCGTCATCCATAAGCGCTATTGCAGTGGATGGAAAATATAAATATAACCGTAATCTTGCCTTGGGCCTTCCTTCTCGATAATAATCAACGGAGCAACAAAGTTTAATACGCAAACGCTTCGTTTTGTCTTATCAATATCACGCATTGGTTCGTATGTTCAACGACTTATAATGATCTACGATAGGTATTGTTTCGCACTTTGGAATTGTGTTGAATTTTGAACTTCGCTTACTATAAGCTCGAAACCCACCTCGTCACAAATGGCAGAAATTCTATCTCATAATTGAATGTCGTTACCATCAAGCCGAATCAACTAATAATAGTATACAAAATAGTAAGTAAATGGTTAGTTAGTAAATTAGAGGAAAATGTTACACTGAACGTTCTTAAGAATATATTTCATAACACGTTTCTTTTAATCATTTTATTCATTTTCTGCACAATTTGTATTTTTTTTTTTCGCGATAAATACAAATAAATATCGAGTGAACGTCGTAAATTCCTAAAACATTGTGCCTATGGAGCAACTTCATGTTATGGCAGTTCCACAAATTTTAGATATATATGTTTGTAAAATTTACTTACAAATTCGGGCACAAAAAGTGTCTGGTGTGTTAAATTCTGCGCTTAGATTTAGTTCAAAAGAAAATAACGTTTAAAGTTATCTGCTAATGGTAGCTACGAAGCTACCCTTATTTGCAATCTATTTTGATAACACTCATGTTAATTAAAGGTCCATTTGATGTGGATATTGTTTCATTCCATTAACCTAATTAACAATGTTATTTTATCAAATATCCGAACCATTTGGTAAGCTGCATTTTTTTATTTTTACTTTCATCTCCCTAACTTTTGTATCAACTTTTATTTTTATTTGTTTTGTAATTTACCGTAAGGTTTTAGCAATCTCCGGTGTTATTAATGAGGTATATGATATTTTCCATCGCTTCTGAACGACATCGGGCGACCGAGACGAAGACGGAGCTCCTGATTTGCTTGTCTCCTTTTATCGTTTTTCCACGGAACGGTCGCCGAGAATCTAATTATTGCGATGCTTTTCTTTCTCTTTCCTTATTATTTCGACCAATTAATTTTGGCCACAGATAAAACGGAATTGTGCACCTCTTTGACGGTTCTACGCCTCCGTAAGTCTGGAGTAATTAACCCTGGACCGTGGCGTGTCCCTCTCTCTCTGCGTATCCTGTTATTAGGAAAAGCACGGTGTTGAAAATCGGCGGACCCGACCAGCATGGTTATGCGACACTTCGGTCATTTTTTATTTCTTTTATTGCCTTTGCGGATAAAGGTCGAATTTATTCGCCAGGTGATTGTATGAATATGCAATTTTGTTGGGTTATGGGTTAAATTCCCCCAGCACGCACATTGGGTGCACCGCAGTCGGAATTATATGGAGATTTAGGTTCGATTTTTAAAATATACGAGGTGTGGTCAAAAAGTAAGGTGACTTTTAAGTTTTATCAAAAAATATTTATTTATTTATCAAAAATAATGTTATCCCCTTCAAAGTAATCGCCGTAGATATAATACATTTGTGCCAATGTTTTTTCCAATTGTGGAAGCACTTCTGGTAAACAGTTTCTGGTATAGCATAGAGTTCTTCCATCAATTTTTTCTTCATTTCCTCCATCGTACCGAGCCTCTTTTGTTTCACGGGTTACTTGAGTTTTGGGAACAAGAAAAAGTTGTACACAAAAAACGATGAGTGAGCAGATGCATTATCGTGATGCAAAATGCGTAAATTGTTTTCCCACAATTCCGATCGTTTTCTTCGTATTTCTTCTCGCAAACAACGCATAACTTCAAGATAACACTTTTTGTCCGTACGACATTGTGGTAAGAACTTTTGATGAACTACGCTACGATAATCAAGGAAAACGGTAAGCAAAAGCTTGATATTTGATGGCACTTGACGTGCTTTTTTCGGTAGATTCGCCATATGCCCTTGTCAACATTTGAAATGTTCTGCAGGAATGTATTTCGTTTTGACACAAAATGTTATGCAAATTCTTTGCTCCATTTCTTTTGACAGCAGAAAATCGCTGAGCCCACAAAACACGTCTCACAAAAAAAAGTATCCATGCAAACTGGCTTAAACTTTGAACTTATGGTAGGGACATGTGTACCAACATAACAATTACAAAAGTCACCTTACTTTTTGAACACACCTCGTATGCGTTGTCTCCTACCGATGATTTTAGCTTTGGTCTCCTCATGTTATATCTAAGAGTGGTCAACCGCACCAGGTACTAAGGTAACGATACATTATTATTAACAAAAGAGAAAACAGCAGAGTGACATCTAAAAGAATGGAATCATTGGTTGTTAATGCGTTGTAGTGCCACTATCGTTTCTGGTTTATTGAATTTTATTAGTTAACCATTGTGTTATTTTTCTGTAATGTTAGAGTTTAATTTTAGTACTGGAAATAAGGAACTTGTAGATTTCCCTTATTTTTCTTGACGCCTCATCTTCACTGTAGATCAGAATGTACTCTAAGGATTATTCCAATCATCAAGACAAAAAGATCGATATCTAGGCATCATCTGTTGTTTACAACCTCAACCCATTTAAGGTAGTATATTTTGTTAAAAAGTCAAATTTAGACAACAATTCAAATTATTGATTCAGATGTTATGGATGAGGGGGTCTTAAAAATACGTGCGTATTCATAATCCCCTTTTAGCTAATGGTCCTCTATTAAAATTTACCGCCTTCGCCCTCTGGAGTTGAGAGTCTTCCTTGTTTTTAAGTAAAAAAGAAATGTATAATAACGCAAAAGCAAATAGGGTTTTGTTATGGAATGTGAAGATCATCATAAAGGTTTTGGAATATTTTGCTTCATTAATTTTGTAGTGAACTGTTATTTTTTGTTATGCTATATATTGTTTAACCTGTTTTAAGCAATTTTAAAAACCCCGTCGAGCTTAATTAGAAGTTAAAAATGCCTTTAACCCGAAAAGTTTTATAACCCGCTTATTTCGCGTAACAAAAGAATTCTCAATCGACGGAAACTTTTCTTTTTTCATAGTCTATTTGCCCTTAAGCAAATCCGTAACAAGTCGGTTGTTGGTTGTTTTAATTTATAGTCTATATCCTGACATATA